CCTCAGCCTGCTGTCGCTCGAGCCTTGTCCCCATGACCCCGAGCTCAGTACCGTCTTCTGCTCCGCACAATCCAGCACTGGGCACAAGGCAAAAAAGAACCGGGCGTGGGTGATGTATGCCGGGATGCTTTTGATCGCTCTGGCCAGGCAGGTTTCGTCCTTGTCATTAGTCACGTCTGCCTTGTTGGGCTCCAGCTGGGGACACGAGAAATAGTCGTACCACAGAAAGAGACTTTGAGATTGGATCTCATGCAGGCGCAAAGGCCTTGCAGTGGGCACAAAGCTTTCGGTGACGATATCCAGTGGGAGAGATCCCGAGCTGCTCATAAGACGCTTCAGGGCATCCTGCAAAACTCTCATCTGTTTGAACTCAGTATCGGGGTGGTCTTTGGCAAGCCACTGGTGCGAGACGAAGGCAGCGTGCCCCATGCTGCGGTCGAAAACGACCACATCGCCGAGGGCCTGGCAAAAGAGAGGAAGCCGCAGACCAAACTAATTCTCCACATGACGGGGAATCCCAACTCTGCACCCGGCCTCCCAAGATCCTTCCGGCCTCCACAACCCCTCGAACACTTCTGCTACCACCTGAAGCTCAGAACCCAAATCTCCCACTCTCGAAAGCTGCTGCGGAACATGATCCAGCCGGGGCAAAGCGGAACCAATGAGAATAGCTTATGATGGGACACTAAGGGATGGAAAGGAACAGCTTCAGACTTTGCCTGGACCCACGAAATCTGTTTCTCCCTATGCTGGACGTGAGAGCGTGAGAACCCCACAAGCCCCTGTAAGCTGTAAAGTGGTACTGGTATCCCCTTGGAGCTGGTATAGAGCTAAAGTACTTAATAGACCCCAAAACCCCACAACCCTATTCTATCATTATTGTTACTATTCTAATCTAATCATTGTTAATATTATTAAGGCTTAAAGCCCCTATGCTGGAAGCCTATAACCCTGAAAGGCGGCTCTTCAGTTGGCCTTGAGCTCTTCGTGGGGGCGGATCGTCGTCATACGCAGCAGCCTAAAGATTGCGTTTAGGATTCCGGAACGGGAAACCTGCCACAAGTGGGTACATTTCCTCGGTGTGAAGTACGGAGCAGAGTGTACGGGTGGAGATCTCGGGTCGATGTTTTCGGGTTTGCTTACACGCTCGGGCTATTTTCAATTTTGGGCTCTTGGATGGCAGATGCAATGCCTAAGCTGAGCGATGAAGACCTCGGAACCCAAAGCCTACACCCCAAACTCTGGAGCCTGCAGCCATGAGCACGGGAACCTAGAATCGATAGGCAGCCGAAGCAGCACTTTCAGAGGCACCGTGTACATTGGGAAAAGCATCGGAGCATCCTGGGACAGCCAGTAGCGGTGCAGGGTTCAGGATGAAGCTTTGGACTTTGGCTTGACGGTAAAGGGTCAAGTGTGCAAAATCTGCGCTGACAAACATCATGGACTGTTTCCACGTCCAAGGCGCTGTCACTATGCTCTGGGTTCTGGCTGACACAGATAAACAAGCCTGGCCATTGAGCCATTAATCGTATTGCCTGACTTCATGAACCTGCATACCCGAGGATGTTGGCGAGACAACTAAGAGGTGTAGCTTAAATTGCAACGCCGGCGGGCACTGCCCGCTTGATTCAACCGTTCAGCTTACACCCCGGAACCAACATCCCTCATCGACTTTCAATCGCAAACCTACTCCAATCCTTCATGAAAGCCTGGACCCAACAAGTACTCGCCTTTTCAATATTCATGTTTACAAACTCTCAGAGTGTGAGTGATGAACACACAAGCAGTAGCTTGTCATGTGCTACATAGACTGCCTCCACGAACCATGTATCCCGGGAACACACTGAACCTGGCTGACCTCTGTGGCGTCGAGACCCGACAATGTGGAGGCATACCTCAGAAGGTCAGCCTTCCGATTCGCCGTGGCCGTTCAAGCTACATGTAAACGAGGCCACACCCACATGCTACAGATCTGGCCGGTGGCAAAAACGGTAACACCTGATCTACAACATTTGGCACATGCACACCGAAAATTTAAGCTCAACCCATTTGCCCACAAGGGTTTTTGCTAAAGGGCACGCAAACTGCAAAAGCTTCAACCCAGCACAACATGCAAACCTCATCATATCTTTGAAGACAGGCGCCGCTCCAACGGACTCCGGGATTTGCCCGACAGGCACCACGCCATGAGGCAACGAACTGGACTCTGGATTCTAGACAAGTGCCAAGCACAACAGTACTAACTTGTTTCGACTTTCCTGTTCATCCAATGAGGATAGATGTAGGTGCGAAAGACACGGAATTGCTGATTCCAGTTTTCAGACTCAAATAACAATTTGTCTGTGTCGCTGTTTCAGCTCTGCTGCCTGATGTTGTACTAAAACTTTGTCCAGCGGTACGAACTTTTCCACACTCCTGAGCAACAAAAGCCTTCGGTATGTCAGCAGCATTCTCAAGTGCACAACTAAAGGAGCGAAATACATGAATTGTCCCCCAAAAGTTTTGAGCCGAAATTTACTTAAAAAAAAACATATCAAATAATATTCGCAACTCACCGCTCACGAAGGAATGATTGCACCACTAACAAAATCACAGATGACATCACAAAAGTCGCAACATTCCTGAGCCCAATGTTTTACCGAATGGTGGTGGAGCCTCGTCGGCATCCCGCGATGTTCGCAGCAAACGGATGCCCCCCTTTCCGAAGGCGTTGGCAAGAACGAGCGATGAAGGAAGAACCACCTGCTCACCAATTCGTCTTCTCCAACATGCGCTGCTTCTTTGATGTCGGCCCTTCCTTGCGTCCTGCAGCCTTCAGCTCCACCTTTGCAAGTGTGTAGGCGTCATAAGAAGCAGCCAATTCATGAAAGAGATCCAGTTGCAAATCCTTCAAGCTGCAGTTGACTCTCAGATCAAGATCAGAGCGATTGAAATTGAAATTGGTCAAATCATCAGCTTCCTGATGTTCTTCTCTGGGCCTCCACCTCAAGCGCAGAAGCTGCGTAGAGAGTTGCAGTAGTAGTGCAGCTGGTAGCTGCCCTACATATAGCTGCAGATAGGGGAAGACTCCTTTGAGACCAGCATCGTTTGCCTTTGTAATATATCCCCTTAATATATCGCAAGCTTTGCGCACGACTTCACCACGCAAATAAGTGGTACTGATGCTAAGTGGTATGGCGAACATCTTCTCGTTATTTTGCTTTTTGAAGAACGTTTTGTCCTTAGTCACCGCAAAGCCAAGCTGCATCCATTGGTCAATCGCATTGCGATCATGGAAACCGATGGCAGCAAAGAACGATATGACCCATTCTCGATTAAGAACGTCAACGAAAGAAGAGCTGGGAGTTTCCGGGTCTTGTATCTTACGGACCAATGCCCATGTAAAGATTGCCATGTGATTCGCCTTGCCGGGCGAGGTAGGTACAGGTGACGGCACAACGTCTGAACTTCTTCTGAAGTGACTGAGCTCGATCGAGAAGTTGTTAGCCAACTCATACTTCCTTCGAACATCATAATGCACCAGATCTTGTGGATAGCCCATCGGCGAAGAGAAGACAATAACAGATTGGAGTCTCCGCCACGCTCCCGAAGAAGATTGTGCGAGCTAACTAAGCTTGCCTCCCACTAAGATCTTTACAAGCGTTGTGGTTGGAATTAGTTTAGTTGACGGGCGATTCCGCCACGCTTCTACTGTTCTGATTAGAACGAATATTTCACATCGAAGAGCGCTGAATTGCGGTTGGAATAGACCTTTGCCCGTACGAGCTGCATAATGGATCTTACCTCACAAGAGAGCAATACTCAGATTCTTGCTGGTAAGCTTAACTCTTCCTATTCTATTGCCAGCCATAGCTCTGTAAGCGCAAGCAATGTGACATACCAGGGTAGGCAGGTTGGCAAGAGCAATTTCCCTCGCAGGAATGACCGGAGAGACCTGGCTGGTTGCTTAGGTTTTTCTTCGTCTTGCTTAGTGGATATGCTGGTCGAAAGCGGCTTCTTGTGTCTGGAGCAACAGCATTGCTGTGAACTGAAGCAACCTAAAAATGCACGTCCAAAAATGGGACCGTTTTCTGAGCCTGCCGGAATTGCGCCAACATTCGAAGACTCCAAATGGGTTCGAATTCCGGGCTCGTTTTTGGCCCGGCTCTTCACTCTTTTTTAAAACCACTTCGTTCTCAACCGACAGCCGCCAACAAGTGTTGCGAAAGTCAAAACTTCTGTTTTTTGGCGCACCGTGACAGCTTGAGCAAGTTGATCGACTTTGAGACAACGGCAGCAACGATATAGCTGAGCTATGAAATGAACAATATAAAGAAGATATCGCGGCACCTGCCTCAGAAACTTCGACCATGTCCGCAACCAAGATCCTGCATGGCTTCAAGTCCCTTCTCAAGCTCCCTTGAAACGGGGCCGATTCCTGGAGATCCCTGAGCCCAAGAGTGGCCGCGAAACTTGGCATCCTGAAGACCTCGTGGCAGCAGTGCAGTCCAAGGACCAGCCGCGACATTTGCAGTCTTCCAAGCTTCAATTGTTTCGCAGAGACTTCAATGTGATGAATGCGTAATGAGCCCTGATTGCCCTTGGTCTTCCAGTTCTTCTCGGAAGTGTACCAGCCTGCGGACTTTCTCGTCATTCTCCGCCGCTTTAAGGCACAACGTCCCAACCTGCTCTCTCTCTCTGGGGAGGGTGCTCCAGTTCCATGTCCTGTGTCCGCTACAGGCCTCGTTTCGAGACATGGGTCAGAATTCGGCACTTCGCAGGCCTATCGATTCTGCAACGTGCGGGGCGGAGCTCAAGCAATCTCTGGGGCTCAAAAGTGCTTGCAAAGAGCCTCCAAACGGCTTTAAGGGGGCTCCCAACCACCTTCGCAGGCCTGCGATTCGCAAACCAGCACTCGCAGGCTTCTGAGGCTTTCTGGCAGCTCGCACTTCCGAGTCGCCTCCTGGCCACTGGCAGGCTTCGCTCGCAGGCCGACAAATCGCTTGCTAGCTGCTCGTAGGCCGACAGTAGCTCACAGGCCCACAAATCGCTTCCTAGCTACGCGCAGGCCGACAAATCGTTTCCTGCTTGTAGGCCGACAAATCGCTTCCGAGTAGCTCGCAGGCCGACAAATCGCTTTCTAGCTACTCGCAGGCCGACAAATCGCTTCCTAACTGTTTCTAGGCCGACAAATCGCTTCCTAGCAGCTCGCAGGCCTCACAAATCGCTTCCTAGTAGCTCGCAGGCCTTCCTAGCTACTCGCAGGCCCACAAAACGCCTCCTAGCAGCTCGCAGGCCACTCCTAGCTACTGGCAGGCCCACAAAACGCCTCCTAGTAGCTCACAGGCCACTCCTAGCTACTCGCAGGCCCACAAAGCGCTCCCTAGTAGCTCGCAGGCCACTCCTAGCTATACTCGCAGGCCCACAAAACGCTCCCTAGTAGCTCGCAGGCCACTCCTAGTGGCTCGCAGGCCCTCGCAGGCCACCCCTAGCTACTCGCAGGCCAAAACGCCTCCGACTAGCTACTCGCAGGCCCACAAAACGCTCCCTAGTAGCTCGCAAGCCACTCCTCGCAGGCCCACAAATCGCTTCCTAGCTGCTCGCAGGCCATTCCTAGTGGCTCGCAGGCCCACAAATCGCTTCCTAGTAGCTCGCAGGCCACCCCTAGTGGCTCGCAGGCCCACAAATCGCTTCCGAGCTGCTCGCAGGCCACTCCTAGTAGCTCGCAGGCCCACATATCCACTCGCAGGCCTGCAAATAGCTTATTAGCAGCCCCCAGTAACCAGTGTGTCGCGAAATGACACACTGCTCCGAATCGCTTCCTAGTACCTCGCAGGCCTTCCTGGCCTCTCACAGGCTTCCCGAGCAGCTCCGAAGCCAGCATACGCCCAGTTTGCACACACTTTGGCGCCCCAAAGATTGCACGTCCTGGCACCTCGAAGCCCGAAAATCTGCAGACCTGCGAAATACCAAATTCTTGGGCATCTCTCCAAACAGACCCTGTAGCTGACACAGAACAGAGACTGGGAACACCCTTCCCAGAGAGAGTGCAATATGCCGGGCATGCCGGGCATGCCGGGCTGTCTCGGCTCGGCCTCCGGCATAGAAGCGCCACCGAACCTTTCCAACATTCCCGGCATATCCGGCATATTCGGCCTGGATCCCGAAGA